TCTTTTTTTTTTTTTTTTGCAAGCACAAAATTCACATCCCTTCAATCCATATATAAACAAGGATGTTGTCGTCTACTTCACTCACACACATCTGTTCCTGGAGTTAACTTCTCAATTGCTTACTCAAGTTTGGTGTTCTGGGTCATTCATAGGGTTTCATTGTTATCCTCCTTTCTTTGTCGTGCGCTTCATTGTGGTATTTGACTCTTGTATTTTATTGTCATGCATGTTCAATGAATCGCATGCTCAATTTATAAAAATCTCGACTCAACTCCAGCTGTACAAAGGAATCACAAGATGCACAATGTGATCTTTATATGTCAAAGCACCCGCTAATTTTAATAATCCAGTTTCTATTTCTCATTTATGCAATATAATAAAGAGGTGGAGTAGAGGAATAGGCTAGTCTGTGGAATACTCAATCCGATGGAAGCATGTGATACGCTATATATGTAATTGGGTGTGATGTCTTTTCCATGTCGCCATCCACTGCTTGATCATCCTCGATATGTTCATAAGCAACCTTGTATTCACAGTTGTCATCCTTCTCTTTCCTCCAAATTAAACAATTAAGCTCGTTGCTGAAAAGATGCTTGATAACTTCAATATCGCTTGCTTGCCGTTCAGGTGCTTGAGGAAGCGCTGCAACTCGATGGAAATATGCGATCACTTTCTTTGGTCGCATCATACTGAAATCTTGCTGTTCCTCATTGTAATCTGATCTATGGTGTCCAATGGCAAGTAACAATTCACGCAAGTCACTGACATCGTACTTGATTGTTGATCCAAGGTCATATATGCAAATGATTTGCAAAACAATCTCAGCTGTGTGTTGCTCTCGTCGCCATTGTATTTGGAATCCATTGGCAGTGACACGATCATCGATGACTCTGTGGTATAATCGACTTTGTCCATCTTCATCCACTCCATGCTTGTCATAGCTTTTCAGTTCGGGTATTGTACAATATACAGGATCTTCCTCACTAAGATTTTCCATATTAGATTATACGATATATTTCACAATATGCTAGCACATACCTAATAGTTACTTGGATGGTCTTTTCTGATCCTCGCTTTGCAATCAACTTTTTGTTCTTCATCAAGCAATGGAATGCATACAACGTGCTTGCTCTACATTATACATGCGTGGATGATTAATTCCAGTTACTTATGCATCCTTCTTTTATTACCTTGCTAGATCAACAATGCCTATTTCATAAGCAACATCCCCTAGCTCGCCATGGTGCTTGGCGTTACGAGTGTACAGTACAAGTCCTTGATCCAAGTGATAGATATGCCAATCAGTGTCCTGATCCGATGGTTGTGATGAGAAGAGAGGTGGATCACTAAATGATCTGTGATCAAGGCCAGATAAACCTGCAAAACGAATGCGATAAGTTTTCAGGATCTTTTCTTTGCTGCAAAGCACATCCGAATCCATATTGAGTGTATCTGTGAGGATTTGTCCATGTTTTTGTTGTTCATCATTCAAGTTGATCCGTCGTTGTCTTTTTCGCATCATGTCGGATGCAGATGGAGAGCCACGTGATAAAGGAGTGAAATTCGACATGTCAGGTATAATATTGGGTGGATGTGTTGTTGGCTGAGATGATGGATGAGAAGCAATCAACGTAGTTGGTACTTGGTCGATACCGGAAATAGGAGTAACCTGGGTATGCTGATGTGATGGATTTGGTGAAATGGATGAAGTCTTTCGTATGCTTGGTGATGTGATATTGGAATGAGATTGCTTTTCAGCACAAGGAGGATGTGGTCGAAACATGTCGTATAAAGTTGGTTGTTGTGCTCTCGATGGTTTTCTTTTTGTTGTGGTAGAAGATGGTGGTCGCTCAAGTGAATGTGAAGTAAAGATATGAGATGACACCCACTGATGAGACTGAGATGATGATATAGTTGTTGGTATAGTGTTCCTCGCAGAAGAACGTTCCAGTTGCCAATCCATTTCATTGGAAATAAATGGTGGTACCGATTGTCCTCTTTGATGATGTTCAGGTTGCATAGATTGATCATGTTGACATTGAGATGGGTGTGATTCCACAGATGATGCTCGTAATCTGATTGGTTTTGGTATATGATGATTTATGTGATTGGATGCTGGTTGCATTGTCATATGCTGTTCTTTGGCAACAATGGATGATGTCGGTGCTGTACTTTGATGCTCACGAGATGATTCAAGCCATGTTGAAAGTGTCGGTACTCTACGTGATTCATTTGTTGTCTCTTCCTCATCATCAGGTAGCAATTGATCTTCTTCATCATCGTCGTTGTTGCTATCTTGACTAAACATGTTGTATTTCCAATTACCTGAAGATTTCAGAGCATCATCTTCATCACTGTCGACCTGCGGATGATCACCGTTATTGCTGCTTTCCTTGTCACCCGGACTTGTAATCGTTTGAATAGGTACGATTGCATCACTTGAACTGCTCACGTCAATATCCGGGGATTCAATAAGCTCATCAAGTTCACTATGATGATGTATCATAAATAAATAAAACAATGCATACTTTTGCTGCAATCGCCGCTTACCAAGAATCTGGGCTACTTGGCTGATTACATGACTCGGCGCCTACGCTTTGATCTCTATATCTATATTGCACGGTAAGAAGAAATGGTACACAACCTCCTATTTGGTGGAATCACTTACAGCAGAGCCATATTGCTTGATGGTTGATTAGAAGACGCGCGATCCAAAAGCCGATCGATAGGAACACCGTAGACTTGATCCATCAACTCTGTCACAAGATTGATAATGTTCTCCTTGTGATGTAGCATAACTGCAGTTTTACTTGGTTCCACATTCACTATAACAATTTCATCATTAGATTCCAAAGCCAATTAACAATGCCATAGTCGTCCATGGCTTACCGTCATATTGATCAGCATTCAATTGGATGTCTATATACATGAATGGATTGCTTGACGAGGATGATGTTCCTAATCATGATTTATGAAACCGGTGAGTGTCTTTTGTTTTCTGATCCTAACTCTTATCCATCAAGGTACGTACCGTCACTCAATCCAAATGCTTGCTGATATCGCTTCTTTATAATAGAGACCATCTCCTTGAGCTCAGAACGTGCATAATTGATGGGTCGCTTGTTTACAAATACATAGGTACGATCGCCTTTGTTGACAATAGATGAATCTAATACTGTGATCTTAGTACCTGCCTATTGGCAAGGCTGTCATAATTCCTTCTCCCCATCATACCTGATGTTGCTTTTGGGAGCAAGCATTCCAATGTCACAGTATCATCCGCACAAGTGCAATATTCCAGCATGGACGCAAGTCGAGTACCAAAGATATAAGCAACAGCTTCTAGCAAAGTTGATGTCGTTGGTTTGATCCAGGAAGGCTCCTTCTTATGTGTCACTGAATCTGATACTTGAACCAGCGCAAAGCGTACATTGGGATATGCAATACTGTATTTGATAATCAATTCTTGCACCTTCTTTGCAGCTGTAACTGCTCCTTTTTGTGCCACCTGTCAATACAAGTTGAGAATGAAAATTAGTTGCAATGCATGAATAAAACGTCAATTACACACATCACCTGTCGTCTCACTGGCAAGTTGGAGAAAGGATCATGTACTGCCACCATTGTACCTGATTTTGGTATCACAGCAGAAGGCTTTTCACTAGTGATAGAGTAATAGATGAGCTTTTTTTGCATGCCATATTATTGCTTATTGATCATACCTTTGCACACGCCCACTTTGATCAAACTGGTATTCCTTTGCAATAGTATCATGGATCGTTTTGGTAGTAATCTGCATGCTATCAGCAATGTCGTTGATGGAATTGAGCGCTTCGCCTGTAAAACATAATCGCTCACTTCGTCAGCAGAACAACCTATAACAAACAATGCAATGGACAAAATACCTCTAAATCCAAGGGTAGTAAGCTTTTCAATATCTTGGAATGTGGATATCTTTGATGTGCAGTAACGTACTGCCATGCTAGGACGGTCACCTTCGCGTATACCAATGCCGTTATCTTTGACCTGTAAAGAACATGACCCCTTCGTTAACTCATGACTTGCATTACAACGACCCAATGACTTGCCTGGATCAACTTGAGTCCTTTGTTCACCAGCTTAATGTCGATACTGCTTGCATTCGCGTCGAGTGCATTTCTGAATCCCCAAAAGTGTGTCAGCTCATGTGCCATAACGACAAGACCAGCTAAACATACTCGACCAATTCTTTGACAATCGTTTCAATGTCGATAATGGCTTGACCTGAGTGCAGATTGCGCACTGTAGCTTGGTCCAGAGCTTGAATCGAGCGGGGCGATGGCGAGTCCATGTCGACAAGGATCTTGGTCAAGCATAAAACTGAGCGCTGCTATTTCATTGCATAATGAACATAACATGCACATGCATTAATCACGTCACATGACATGGCAGGCTTTACTGCTAGTTAAATATATTGCAATATCAAGTCAAGATATCCATGTCTGTCATGTGCACTACCAGAGCTGTGATAGTACTATATAGATTATACCCACATAGTTATAATAAGTCATCATTTATTAACCAACCGCCAATACACATTGTCATCATAATTGTCCCTTTCTTGAATGATTGTCTTTTTGTTTTTTGTTATAAACAGAATAGAGTATAAGTATAGTTATTGGCGAAAAAGAGCTCGCTGTTGCATGGCGATGATATTGTTTTCAATGTAAAGATACGCAACAAACCATCATTATTATAATAAAACAGCACTTGATTAGATAGTGAAGAATAGCACATGCAAATCAGTCCATGTATTATAAAAATGAAGTGCTATCTACTATTGTTATTATCGTGGAGCTAATAGTTGATAATAAAAAAAAAGTGTCAACGCATATCATGCTGCATGAATCGAACGCGCGACCTGGATGTTCGAACTCCACACCGAATCGATGAATCTGATTGGCTCGTCTCGATATGGAAATTTGGGCGGCTGTGATGTACCTGGTGTTTCAGATTTCAGTGGTTCGGTGGTGTAGTTGGTTATCACGCCTGCTTCACACGCAGGCGGTCACGAGTTCGAGTCTCGTCCGAATCATAGCTTTTGCTTCTCTCGATTTTCGTTCGCTCACGTGATTTGAGCCCCCCACCCCCCATCCTCTTCAACAAGGCAAGCTGTGTGTTGTTCAAAACATCCTCAACACTATATTATATGAATATCTTCATAGTCAACTACTTGCATTCAATTCGATATTCCATCCATGATTACCGTTGATCTGAGCATTGCATACTTTTTATTTTACCAGAAATGATTTGGACAATAGAAATATAACACTATGAATTACATGCTCATGGAAGAGCTGTCAAGGTAAATCGATCCCCCAATTGGCTGTGATGTTCATTTATTTGGCATTTGAAGGA